AGAAGGATACCTTGAGGAGACACGCGAAGAAGGCAGAGGAGAGGTATAAGAAGTGGCTTGACGCAGGCTCCCCTCCTGCACACATGTGCAGGATGATGGGCGAGGCTGAGGATCAGCGACCTCTATGCCACCCCTTTCGCAATCTCGTACAGCGCGTCCTCAATGACTTACGTTTCCACCACCGCATGACTGCCGATCGCACTGAGATTGGCAAAAAGGCCTGGACCATCGATGACATGCGCGACGCTTGTGACATCTATGATCACAGCGTTAGGCTTGGCTTCGCTGGTCGCAGGAACTGGTGGTTGAACGATGGTAGACTCGACAGAGGCACCAGGCAAGAGCGCGGCCTCGCCACAATTGCCTGGCCCCGCGGGGGCGGCACTTGTGAGGCAGTCACGCAGCGCAAGCTTGCCAAACTGGCCTCCGTCGAACCTGCCATGGGATCTGCCAATCCAATGGGGGTGAGTTCAGGGGTTAGAACCTGTCCTAACGACCCCAACACACACTCCTCACATACACATGGCGCCATGGAGCCGCAGCAGCCGCGGCGCCCGCCGCCGCCTCGCCCCGCCCATGGCGATGCCGCTGGATCCCGCGCCTCTGGCGCGCAGGATGACATGCCCGCTGGGCCGCGCGGCGCGGCCGCCGCGCAGCGGCAGAGCGGCGACGCCAGCCGCGGACCAACAACGCCTCCACGTGCCAAGCGGGCGCGCACGACAGAGGACTACGCGACGTGGTGGCGCAACAACCTGGAGGACAGCCAGTGGGGCCCCAGGTACTGGGGCTACTACGCCAAATGCTGGATATACACCGCGGACAACAACGACGAGTTCGTGTACGTCCGCGACCTGCTGCACAACGAGAGGTTTCCCAACTGGACCCCAAGGACGCCCTGGGAGACACTCACGACGAGCTACATCGCGGATGATGGCCACAGGGTGTGGGACCAGAGGTTCTACATGAGAGGAAACTCTTAGTTTTGTTGGCCGCAAGGCCCACTGCTCGATTGGCTTGAACTTCGTCTTTATACAAGTTCGCCTCGAGCAGCGCATACCAATATAATTTTAGGCCACTTCACTATACAAGGAAAGTGGCCACACACTCATTCACACTTGTGAAACCCAAGGCAGACTCCTAAGGAGCACCGCCGAGGGGAGTAACCAATCGCAGAATTTAGTAATGCAGCTTTTCGTGTTTGTCAACACGACTTTACGCATGGCCATGCATTTGCGTTGCTATTTAGACGTGTTTCTTAACGCGATCGTGTTTCTCCACACGACTCGACATTGCACCTATTTCTTTTGCTAATCCCTTACATTATGATTACATTGCGTTGAGAATGATATGATGCCCAGCTCTGGTTTGAGAGCTGGTGGCAACACCTGCCGCGTTCAGACGCGGCAGCTTCTGATGTTTCTTTACTTTGATCAGATCCTCTTGCTCCGCCCACCCGTGTCTCATTCTTCTCCGCCCTCGAGTGCCGAAGCGTTTTTTTGGGGCGCACCGAGGGGGCACCAAAGTGTGCTTGGCGAAGAAACTGGGACCCTGGGTGTTCTTTCTTACCCTTACTTGCCTGATCATGGCAGCTGTTGTGCTACGCTACTTACACCGCTGTCGTGATCGGGACGCAGCTGACGCGGTACAGAGTTTACGCTCAACTGCCTTGCAGTGCTGAGGATTTGACGAGTAAAAGGGTGACAGGTTCTTTTCTCCTTTTCCCGAGCCCTGCCCTTGCGGGCGGGATTCAGGGCGGGGGGTGTGAATAGACACCGTCTAGTACCCTCATATATACTCCTTATCCTCACTCTCCTGCGCCTGGCCGTTTGGGCTCAGGTATTGGAGTAGATCGATCAGACCTTTGATCGTGCAGGAGGAAAAAATATCAATCTTTCCCTCCTCTCCTCTACCAACGGATCAGGGGTTCTGTGCCTTTGTGCTCTAACCCCATGCACAGGAGAAGGAGGAGGAGGAGGGGGGGGAGGAGGAGGAGGAGGAGGAGGAGGAGGAGGCGGAGGAGGAAAGAAGGCGGAGGAGGGGAAGGGGGAGGATTGGGGGGGAGGGGAAGGGGGAGGAGGAGGAGGAGTGGGAGGAGGAGGAGGAGGAGGAGGAGGAGGAGGAGGAGGAGGAGGAGGAGGCGGAGGAGGAGGAGGAGGAGGACCTCCGGAAGATTACGCTTCTGCCGTGTTTTCTTTTTGGAGGTCACCCCCCCAGGGGCGCGATTTTTTGGACGTGGGTATTTCTGGATGTCCAGATCCCAATCTACTTCGAGCGCCCAGACCTAATCTGTGTGATCCGCCTTCCAATTTCGTGTTTCTTCCTACTTCTGCCGACAGACGTGCGCGCTTCTTCCGACAGACGTGTTCTTCTTGGAGGTCACCCCCCGGGGGCGCGAAGAGAGCCGCTCTTCGCGCACCGCGGCCAGGGGTTCCCGAGCTGCCATCCTCCAGCGGGCGGCGAGGAGGCGCGGAAACAACCGCGCGCCGCGGGGCGCGGTGCGCGAGGCGCGAAGTGACCCGGGTTCCTCCTCCCTCTCCCGGCTCTTCCTCCCACTGCACGGTCCCTTTCCGTCCGATCGATCCGATTCGATATCGATTCCGGCCGGCTCGATCCGATTCGATTCCGGTATCGCGGCGACCCGGTGCGGGCCGATGTTTGCACAGCGTTGCTGTGCACCCCTCTGGCGCGGCCGATCCGGTCCGAAGCCGATGCCGTGCCGAGGCGGCGCGGCTCCGTGCACGTTTCCATCCGGTCCGCTTTCCCGATGCGATGCTGGCTGATGTTGCCATCGCGAGCGAGCTGTGAGCATCCGGAGAGCCAGCGCGCTCCTGGCGCTCCGGCACCTCCGCGCGGTGCTTTTTCTAGAGGGCCGTCCTCCGGGACGATGGTCGGCGCTCCGTTCCGCTTCGCTCGCGGCCCCCTCCCTCCGGGGTTCCTCCACCGACGCGACGTCCGCGCACGTGTAGGTGGCCACGTGTGAACCCCTCCTCCCCTCGTCCTCCTCCTCGTCCTCCTCCTCCTCCTTTTCTCCTTTCCTCCTTTCCTCCTCCTCCTACTTTCGTCGTCGTCGTCCTCCTCCTCCTCCTCCTCCTTTCGTGTTCCTCCTCCTCCTCCTCCTCCTCCTCCTCCTCCTCCTCCTCCTCCTCCCTCCGCCTCCTCTTCTCCTCCTCCTCCTTCTCCTCCTCCTCCTCCTCCTCCTCCTCCTCCTCCTCCCCGTGTGAACCTTACCTCCACCCCCCACGATGTCCAAGTGGGGGAGGGATTCACTGCGTTCGGGATGTCCCGAGCGGAGTGAACCCCAACCCCCCCTTCGAAATCTTGGGGGGCGTGGGCGGGCGGGGGCACGGCTCACACGTGGCCACACACGTAATTACACGTGCGCGCGTGTGGCCGTGCGCCGCCGCTTCTGGCTGCTTGCCGCTCCTCGCGGCCCGCCGGGCTCCTCCTCCTCCTTTCCTCCTCCTCCTCCTCCTCCTCCTCCTCCTCCTTCCTCCTCCTCATCCTCCTCCTCTCCTCATTCTCCTCATTTCGTCCTCATCCTCCTCCACCTCTTCCTCCTCTTCCTTTCTCCTCCTCCTCCTGCTCCTCCTCCTTTCCTCCTCCTCATTTCGTCGTCGTCCTCCTCCTCCTTCTCCTTATCCTTTCCTTTCCTCCTCCTCCTCCTCCTCATCCTCCTCCTCATTTCGTCGTCGTCGTCCTCCTCCTTCCTCCTCCTCCCTCCTCCTCCTCCCCTCGTCCTCCTCCTCCTCTTCCTCCTCCTTCCCTCGTCGTCCTCGTCCTCCTCCTCATTTCGTCCTCCTCCTCCTCCTCCTTCCTCCTCCTGCTCCTGCTCCTGGTCTCCTCCTCCTCCTCCTGCTCATCCTGCTCTCCTCTCTCCTCCTCCTCCTCCTCCTCCTCCTCCTCATCATCATCATCATCATCATCATCGTCCCTCCTCCTCTCCTCCTCCTCCTCCTCTCATCGTCCTCCTCCTCCTCCTCCTCCTCCTCCTCCTCCTCCTCCTCCTCCTCTCTCATCCCTCTCCGGGGCCCCCCCCTCCTCCGGGGCTCCTTCACCAGCGCGGACGTGCGCGCGCGTGTGCGCGTGCGGCAGTGTCGGGCGGTCGTGCCCCGCGCCCGCCGCTTCGGGCCGCCCGCCGCTCGCTGGCGGCCTCGAGGTGGGTGATGACTCGTGCGGTCGGTCGGGCGGGACAGTAAAGTGTGGCGCATGATCGAGGTAGCACGCGTAAGCTCTAACGGGCGGGTCGGCTCGGGTGGGCGGGCCCCAACGGGCGGGTCGGGGCGGACTGGGCGGGTCGGGTGGGACATGAAAGTGTGGTCGTATTCGAATGAGCACGCGCAAACCTTGACGGGCGGGTTTGGTCGGGCGGGCGGGCCCGAACAAGCTGGTTAGGGCTGGCGGCGTCGAGCAGGGGATCAACTACATGATTGATTTGCCCCGAGATGGTGTTCCCCGCGCATCCATGAAACATGCGTGGGCTGCGCGTAGATCGATCTACGAGAAGATCATTGTACACATTGGTAAATCTACGGCAAGAGTAGAAACATACGTGTATTATCCATATCAGTTGTTTGATGGATTCGACGAGGAAACCAATCTTGGGGTACATAAATTCAAATGTCGAGCCCCTACGCGAGCTGGGTGGTATCATGACCAGGGCCATGAGATGTCCCCAGATTTCATGGCCCCCTTCATTCAAACAAAGCTCTTGATCCCCCCCTGTGCCTCGCACAAGCCTCTAGCCATGATACGCACCGCTCTGTCTTGGACGCCCCTGACTAGGGGATCGATCCTCGGGAACGTTCGCAGGCAGTGGATACGGATATACTCGAGCCCGTCGGGGCCCAGGTGTACCCGTATCCGCTGCCCGCTGGGGTAACAGGACGTCGATTCCGCAGGCGTTAGTTAGCATTGGATCTGGTGACATGCCCCCGCCTCGCCCCCCCCTTCCCGGTCCCTGAACCCTGTAGGGGGGAGAGGCGGCGGGGAGAAAAGACCAGGAGCTCCGGCAGCAGCTGAGGGACGCGACCCAGCCGATCGTCGGGCTGGCGGTGCGCATGAAGGCGCGAGACGCCGCCGCCACCCTGCGGCATCGCCCGCGGCGGGGTTATTACGCCACTCCCCGCCGCCCCCCCGCACTCCCACACGCGTCATCGCCCATGTGTGTTCAGATGCTCGCGCACCATCTCCTCGCGTCTTCACTGGAGCGTCTGCTCAGCGCGTCGTGCCGCCAGTTCTGGCCGCGCCACGTCTTTCTCGGCCCGCCACGCTGAGAGCACGCCCCAGTGCCCCGGCAGCACTGCTCCGAGCTTCCCCCGGCCTCTCGCCCCACGAAGCAGAGCGGCAGGCGATCAGCTTGCAACTTGGCGTCGCTCGGACGTGTGCATGTTTCCCGGCGAGGACCATCGAGGAACATCTTGAGTCATCTTCCCCCCCAAACCAAAAAAAAACACGAAACCGAAACATGCACAGGGAATGGACGTCCCAGCGATGGCGAGGCGAGGCAGTGCCAGCCGCAGGGGCCGCCGCGGCGACGCGATCATGACCGTATACATGCCCCGAGGGCAGCACTGACAGGGGTGCGCTCATCCAGGATGTCAGGCAGACGAGGAGGGAAGGGAAGGAGGAAGAGGAGGAGGGAACATGAGGAGGAGGAGAAGGAGGAAGAGGGAGGAGGAGGAGGGGGAATGAGGAGAAGGATAGAATAGGAGGAGGAGGAGGAGGAGGAGGAAGAGGATCGGAGGATCGCGCCGCATCGTCGATGCATCGCCGATGCATCGCCGATGCGGCTAATTAGATGTGCAGCCCGATTTGCCCCGCGTCGGCGTCGCCGATGGAGCGCCGACGTCGACGATGCATCGCCCTTGCATCACCGATGCATCGCCGATGTATTGGCGTTGCGGCGCGATCCTCCGACCCCACCTACTCAGACCCCATCTAAGAGGCCTCTAAAATGGGTGTGCGGGATTGAGTCACGCTCGCACCCTTGCCGATGACTGCGCTCATGCAGCGGCCGCGAGGGCAAGCATGGAAAGGGGGGCCAGGGGTGGCCCCGTCGAAGCACCAGTTTTGGAAGGGCGCGCTGGTAGCTCGCACCACAATGATGCGGCGCACACATGTTGCACCACAATGATCGCACCACATAGCTTGCACCGCACGGATTGACCCACGCAGCCTGCGCCACATATATGGCACTATATAGCTTGCACCACATATTACTCCAGGGTGCAATGGTGCACTGTTTGGGGTTCTCGCTGGCAAACATGTTTGCGTCGTTTCCCGTAGGACCCGTGTCCTTCATTCTCATAGCGCCACGCACCAACCGCAATTTCTGCCTACGGTCTTTTTTGCCTTCAGCCTGGTGTCGCAAACATCGACTCCGCAGTGGAGGAGTTTAGTAGGCGCAGGCCATGAGATTTCACGCGCCCGTGTGGCCCCAAGCTGGCCTGGCGAGCTCGCCCGTTGAGGGGCCGCTCGGGGCTCCCAGGGACCCCCATGTAGACTGGCGTGAAAGATCTGTCACAGATCGGAGCCCGATCTGAGGCCACATCCACCTCCCGAAGCTCGATCCTCGAGCAGCTCCTGGGGTGTGTATGCTGTGAGCGCCCGTGTGGCTTCCTGCCCCGGCTGCGTGTGACCGAAACGTGCGTGCGTGTGTGTGTGTGTGTACGTGTGTGTGTGTGTGTGTGTCGGCGTGTGTGTGTGTGTGTGTGTGTCGGTGTGGCGGTGTGTGTGTGTGTGTGTGTGTGTGTCGGTGTGTGTGTGTGTGCGTCTGTGTGTGTTTTTCCCCACATGCTTCGTGGGGTTCTGGTGTTCTTCTCTGCCGCGCCGCACCCGCGACACTCACCCTCACACCTCACTCTTCCCCTCTTCCTCACAGCACTGCTCAGCACAGCTCAGCTAAGCTCAGCACAGCACAGCACGGGTCAGCTCAGCTCAGCTCAGCTCAGCTCAGCTCATCTCAGCACAGCACAGCGCAGCACAGCACAGCTCAGCACAGCACAGCAGAGCTCAGCCCAGCTCAGCACAGCACAGCACAGCACAGCTCAGCTTAGGGGGTGCGCAGGGGGTGGTCCCTCACCGCGGCCGCACACAGGGGTGCTTGTGACAGCACACACATATTCACAGCACATATACACACCGCACACATACACACAGACACAAACAGACACATACCCTGATCACGCAGCATTGCCCGTATTGGGTGGGGGGCCTATGCGTTGCAGGCTCCCAGGGCGTGGCAGGCGTGGCATTTCCGCAGGGGGTGCGCTGGGGGTGGGCGCCGTATGCGTTGCAGGCTCCCAGGGCGTGGAAGGCGTGGCATTTCCTCGACGCCACAGGGGGTGCGCTGGGGGTGGGGGCCCTATGCGTTGCAGGCTCCCAGGGCGTGGCAGGCGTGGCATTCCCTCGACGTCACAGGGGGTGCGCTTGGGTTGTGGGCCCTATGCGTTGCAGGCTCCCAGGGCGTGGCAGGCGTGGCATTCCCTCGACGCCACAGGGGGTGCGCTGGGGGTGGGGTCCCTATGCATTGCAGGCTCCCAGGGCGTGGCAGGCGTGGCATTCCCTCGACGCCACAGGGGTTGCGCTGGGAGTGGGGGCCCTATGCTATGCGTTGCAGGCTCCCAGGGCGTGGCAGGCGTGGCATTTCCTCGACGCCACAGGGGGTGCGCTGGGGGTGGGGGCCCTATGCGTTGCAGGCTCCCAGGGCGTGGCAGGCGTGGCATTTCCTCGACGCCACAGGGGTGCGCTGGGGGTGGGGGCCCTATGCGTTGCAGGCTCCCAGGGCGTGGCAGGCGTGGCATTCCCTCGACGCCACAGGGGGTGCGCTGAGGGTGAGGTCCCTATGCGTTGCAGGCTCCCAGGGCGTGGCAGGCGTGATATCGATTGTGATATCGATAGTGAGATCGACAGTGAGACCGAATGTGAGATCGTTTGTGAGATTGATAGTGAGATCGATAGTGAGATCGATTGTGAGATCGATAGTCAGATCGATTGTGAGATCGATCGAATGAAATATATCGAGTGAGATCGATTGTGAGATCGATCGAGTGAGATCGATCGAGCGAGACCGATAGTGAGATCGATAGTGAGACTGATCGAGTGAGACGTTGGTTCCTCCCCCCCCGAACCTCCTTATCATCCGAAGGGTGGTCGTATAGGTATATATATACATATAGTTACATGTATGTTGTTTGCCTGGCCGTTATTGTTCCTCCTCCCGGGCGGAAGCCTTCGCCAAGCCCCACGCAGATCTCGAGTCTGTCTGTTGACAGGGTCCCTGTGATCTGAAGGTGGTCAGGATCCCTCTCCTGGCCAGTATCGAGGGGATTTCGTGCGCAGATGTTCGGACGCCTTTGGTGGTCTGGTGGCGTCGAACCTTCAGTGGCCCAGCATTCACGGCAGAGGCCCGTGGGCAAGGGGCGAAACGCCGTGGGTCTGATGGTATTGAGAGCGCCGTGGGGAGCGGCAGATGTCGTTAAATTGGTCAGGATGGGCGTCGCATTGTCGGTTGCACAAGCGTGATTCACTGTTTTCCCAGGTGATGATTTAACTGATGCGCAAATTTATTTTGTCCAGCCTCTGAGTACCCGAGATGCTATGGGTGCTTTCGCCATCTCTCTCTCTCTCTCTCTCTCCCTCTCTCTCTCCCTCTCTTTCTCTCTCTATCTCCTCTCTCTTTCTCCTCAAACCTGCCGCTTTCGCCACGTTTTGCACATCATTCCCCCAGGATGCGGAGGACGCCATTCGCAGCACCAAGTGTGACCTCCTCTCGCAGACTGCTCACATCAAGGATTATAGGGAGCAACAGGAAATATTTGCGGGATTGCGTCCAAGGTAAAGCTGTTGCAGGGATTATGAGATAGCTTGACTGCCTCCGTCAGACGCCGGTGCGCGCCCTCTCTGCTTGGAACTCTGGAGCCATGCATATGGATACGTTTGCACCTCATTCTTTTATCCGCGTTCGACCATCGGTTTCGTGATGCGTGACTGACGACACTTGCACTTGCGACAGTGCTGTTTCCCATCTAGTTCTCCACGCGTGGGCCGAACCCGCTTTTTACGGAAGTGGTCAGGCGATCGTGATTCGAGCGACATGGCAAGCCAACGGCGTGTTTTTTGCACCGATTCACGGTTCGACATGCCAAGACACGTTGATTTTCTTCAGCGCTCAGTTCGGCTGAAGGGTCGCGAATTCAATAGCCCGAATGTTTCCGTCCTCGCTTTGAAGGGAGTCGCGTGGAGGAGTTCTAAGATGGGGCATAGATCGCGAGTCCGAAAGTTATTTGAATTCTTGACGCGTGGCGCACCCCACCAGCACATCCAGAGGCGATTCCCAGGCAAGTTGGTTTGATCAGGGGAGTGTAGGAGCACGCATTGGAACAAACAGAGGGTACAGCTGTCAAACCGAAGCTCGGGATCAGCCTCAGCAGACGGAGGAGTCAACCACATTTTAAATGCCGAGCCTCATGGCAGTTTACTTCGGCCATCTGTGGGCCGTCTTGGGGCAATTTCGGAGGCCTTCGTGGCTCAATTGGGGCCCTGTTGGGGCTCTCTTGAAGCCCTCTTGGGGGCCTTTTTGGAGACCAGCGATGGGCGCCGATTAGCGTCCTCCCGTCGGAACCCTCAATATCACCTCTTGGGGGCCTCTTGGGGCGCTTTTCGGACGCTCTTGAGCCCTCTCGGTGCTGGCTTTGAGCCCTCCAGGGCCCCTTTCGGGCTGTCTTGGGCCCCACTTGTTGAGGCTTCAGAAGATGATCGGAAGCGAAACAGCAAGAAGGTCAAAGAAAGTCGTGGCCCTCCGGTTTTTGGGAAAGGTTGTTACTCTCGGGAGCGTCCTTGGGAGACTCCGTGGCCACTTGGCGCCGTCTTACCTCGGTCTCGGGGCATCGTGCAGGCATGCTGGAGCGTGTGCAAGCAAGCAAGAGCAAGTAAGAGCAAGCAAGCAAGAGCAAGCAAGCAAGCAAGCAAGCAAGCAAGAGCAAGCAAGCGAGAGCCAGCGATCAAGTGCAAGCAAGCAAGAGCAACCATAGGACCCGCCATTGGAAACAGCTGGGGGGTGCCATTGGAAAGAAAGGGGGGTGCCATTGGAAAAAGGGGGGGGAGGGGGGGGCCATTGGGAATAAGGGCGGGTGCCATTGGAAAAAGGGGGAGGTGCTAAAGACCAAATACGTATGATGAGCTAGGACTCCTGTAGGGCAAGCCTGTTTTGAAAAAACCTGGGAAACTGTCAAACCCAAGAAACACTTCAAACATCCCGTCGCTATTCTGGCTCAAGGTGGGGCGGGGGAGCTTGGGAACTTCGTAATCGCGGACATAAAGCTTTGTTTTGCCCCATCAGATGGAAACTGGCTTGGCTCATGATGTGCCAAGGCTCGATGTGGATTTGGAGAGCACGCCACTGTTGGCGCCAAGTCCACCGGCGCAGCAGACTATGAAACCACCGGCGCCGCAACCGTGCAGGAGTCTTCCGCGCACTCCAACGCGTCGCTGTCCAACGCCTTTGGGGTGGAGATCCATCCAGATCGCTGCCATTCTTACGATGGTGTTAGCAAGCTCGCGTCGCGTGCACTTTGGAATTGGGCAGCCGAGGAGTGCAAAAGCCGGCTCTGGAATGCCTGGACGGTTGGTACAATTCACAGGGTCTGAGAAGCAGGTGAATTTGAGCGAGTCGGAGGAGCCGGTGAATTTGAGCGAGGCATTTTGTGAAAATTGGCGACGCAGCCCTGTCAGAATCATTGAAGTGTACCTTTCCACAGAACCGCTGATTGGCTCCGGGGTCCCTGACTCTGGTGGAGTGGTGCGTGGTCACCATTGGGTTCTCTTCTTCAAGGATACACCAGGGTCTCGGTATACGACGGAACTCGTGCCGGACAAGCGCCCTCAAGCCATGTGGGGGATGACGTTTGCTAATGAGTCAATGGGCAAAGTTCCAGACATTCCAGTGGAGTTTGTGCAACTCAGTATATAGCAACCAAATGACATCCTCTGCGGCGTGGACGGTTCCCCTGGGTCTAAGGACTTCCTTTACGAGGAGGTTACAGGAGAGTATACATTGGCCGACGTATACGAGATTCTGTCGGATTTCAAGACGCGCTATCCGTTCTATAATTTGCTGGAGGGTATTGGTGCAAACTGCCAGACCTACAGCAAAGTCCTATACGAAGAGTTGACAGGCAAGACAGTAGAGACGGAGGTGCATACTTCGCCTTGGTACATCCTCCTCGGCGTTTGGTTGTTGTTGTTTGCATGCTTCTTCGTATGTTGCTGCTGTTGGTGTCTTTGGAATATCGCCTGCTGCTTTCTGGTCTGCGCTAACTGGATGGTCATGTGTTTTAGAGTATTTCGCTGTTTCGAATGTTTGGCCGTGATAGGGCAATTAGGGCCAGGGTGATTGTCGCAATGCCATCTGACCTTGCCGCGGAGGATGCTGATCGCAGGCTCCTCATCAGGCGTTCAACGGTTGTTGGGTTGTCTCACTTCGGTCAGCGATTTCGGGACCTCCGACAGAAAACCTCAAATGCTGGTGAAAATTTGCACGCGTACCACCGCCCCCATTTTATGATTCCAAAGGGCGAGAGTTCGGAGAACATGCGTTTCTTGGACTCTATAGAGCCTTTTGTCGGCTTGATCTACGTCCGAGCTGGCTGACTCGATACAACTAGCGCGCCGATTTAGCCAGCTTCCAACTCTGCTGCTTGTGCGAGTACTCTAGTCAGGTGCCCTCCCCTCTGTTCTGTTGAGGCCCGCTAGGGGCGACCCCCCCAGCGTTGGGCGTCCGAGGTGCTGGACGTGCCCGCCTGCGGGCGCCTCACTTCTCAAGGTCCACCCTCCCCCGACAGATCTTCCAATACATCGTATCCATCCTCCTGCCCTCCCTGGGCGGGCGCCGAAAAAGGGGGCAACCCCGCCAGCAATGGGCGAGCATTCTGGGTGGCCGCCGGAAAGGACCGAAGCCCCAAGGGGGGGTCTGAAAAGGGACCAAAAACTTTCTGCAGGCGGCGGTGGACCTAGTGGCCTGCGGTCCATCCCGCGACCGGGCCTGGGTTCTGGATCCACGGCCTCGTGGATGCACGTGAGGATCTCTTGGGATGCCTTTCGGATCCTGTTGGAGGGTGTTTTGGGGATGCCTTGGAGCATCTTGGGGGCCTTCTGGAGCTTGATTTGGACCTTTCGGGTGCCTCTTGAAGCCTCTTGCTTGCGCCTCGGGAACTTGTGGGGGGATCTTAGGGCCATCTCTGGGCGGAGGGCTCAAAATGTCAGTTCGTGTTCCCCATCCGTGGCCCCTCTTGGGGCCATCTCGGGGGCCTCTTGGGCCCCTCTCAGGGTCTCTTCGGCCGTTGCGGGGCGATCTTGGGCGCCTCTTGTGCCGTCGCGGGCGCGTTGAAGACTGAAAATGCGGTTATGCGAACAAGAACTACGCATTTAGACGACGTTGGCCTCTCGGGCCGCCCTCTGGGGCCTTCAGGGCGGCACAAATGCCGGCCCCGCGCGCCGTGGGAGGGCAGAGAAATACCGAGGCCCGCTCCGCGGCCCAGGGGAACGCCGCTCCCCAGACATGGGGCGCGGCGCCCCGAGCGTCGCCCCGACGCGCGTCGCAGCGACGCCCGAGACGCCAGGGGCGCGAAGAACCCCCAGGGCGCGGGCGGGCGGGACAAAACGCGTCACGCGGCCGCGCATGGGCAGCGCGCGCGCCACAGCCCTCGCGGGGGCCCGAGCCCAGAGAGGTGAAGGCGCAGCGCGCAAGGCCGCGTGTGCGGACGGGCACCGCGGGGCCGCCCCAACGCCACTCGCATCGCGGCGCGGTGGCACAGCGCAGCGGGACACGCCCCCCGCCAGCTGCACAGCAATGGCCAACAAGGCCAGCGGCCGCTCCCGGGCGGACCGCGGACAAGAGAAAGCAGGAGCGCAGAGGCGGCAGCCGCACAGGCAGAGCAGCACCAGTATACCTCTCCCACCCACGGCCCCGCACCCCGACCCCCCCCCCCCGCCCCGTGGACGAGGAGAGGGCGGGGGGGCAGGGCAGCCGTGGGAGCGGCATTCGTGCAAACCCACAAACGCAACGACAGCGCAAGCACTGTCCCTGAGTTTGTGGGCTCATCACAAATGCCAGCCCGACGCGCCGTGGGGGGGCAGAGAAATGCCGAGGCCCGCTCCGCGGCCCAGGGGAAAGCCGCCCCCCAGACATGGGGTGCGGCGCCCCGAGCGTCGCCCCGACGCGCGTCGCCCGGCCTTGGCGGCGCCCGAGGCGCCAGGGGCGCGAAGAACCCGACGCCAGATCGTGGCCTTGGTGGCTCGGGCGGCGCCTGCCCCAGAGGCGCACCACCCCTCGCTGCATGCGCCGGCAGGGGTGAGGCAAGGCGCGAAGCCACGCTACGTTGTCCTCCCAAGTGGAGGGCGCCCCAGTGCGCTGCGGCTCGATGCGCCGCCAGGATTTATGAATCAGAAGAGGAATCGCTGCTGGAGGATTCGTCCAGATGCGCCTGCGAGCGACGAGCGCATTGCGGATCGTCAAAATGTGGCGCGCGTCGCGCCTCCAGCACGGCGCCGGATTCAAGGTCCTGAGAATTGATGTATTGCAGGAGCGCAGGCGAACGCCACTGCCCAGCCTTTAGAATCGCCCCCAGGCGACTGCCACCTTCAAGCATGTCCTGTGCGCCCCCGCGATCGCAGCGCACGAGCGGGCGCGGTGCTCGAGCCTGCGCGTGGCCGCGGCGCAGGTCGCGAGGCCGATGCAGCTGTGCCTCGGCGACAGACAGCATGGCCAGTATCCTCCTCAGGGACCGCAGCGCCTTGCCAGGCGTTAAGCTCGGGAATAATTTCTGCCCCCGGGCACGCGAGGCCGCGATCTTACCGAGCACGTGCACAGGGCAAGACTCTGGATGGTTTGCGCACCAGCAACCGCGGACCAGCTCAGTGCCCGACGGCGCATTCTTTCTGCTGGCCAATCGCAGCCGCAGTTCGTCCCCGGCGACATACAGGCAGGAATGCACTTCGCCCGCGGGCGCGGTTGCTCCCCACGCGCAAGGGATTGCCTCCGATGGAACGCGCAGCAGGAAGGTATACGCCAATAAGCACAGTACTTGCGTCTCTCTCAGTTCGGCGTCGCGCAACGCCAGTCGCATCATGCGCGCGACCATGCTGTGCCTGATATACATGTTCTTGCGTGGGACAAACAGCCGTCGCTTCTTGCGCGCGCCGACAGACCGCGCGACCTGGGCGCGACCGCCCCGCGCGCCCTGCTGCCGCTTGATAGCAGTACGAGCCCGCGCTTGTTCGGGCGCCTTGAACACTGCCGTGTCCGCGCGGCAGAGCATGCACACGGCGCGCACGAAGCCCAAATATTTCGCGAACGTTCTGCTGCACCGAAAGAGGGACGCCCATGCCAACAAATATTCGAGGGCGGGCGGGATCTGGGCGCCGCCAAGGCCCAGGGCGCCCTCGCAGAACCCGTTCCAGCACCGTATGCCGCTTCGCAAGCTTGCAATGGATCGGGGGCATGAGCCCAGCAGCGACCGCACGCGCTCCCTTTCGACCCAATTTGCGCGAGCCGCTGGCGTGCGCAATTGGCACCGCAGCGATGCTATGGCGGCGCGCGGACCTTTGCCTGAGCACAACGCCGCTGTTGCGATGTCATCCCTCTCGCCGGCTGTCGCCGCGGCGATGGCGTCCTCAACTGAATCCAAGATATTGAATGATGCTGCCGCCAGCCGCCTCGCCTCACCTCGCACTGGGCTGCGAGACCTTCGCGGAGCCGCCGCGGGTCGCGCCCCGTTTTGCGCGCCTGCGAAGCAACGATGCCCGCGGCGGGCGACGTGCGCCGGGAGAAAAGCACCTGCGAACCGCCGCCTAGCTTCGGCAAGGCGAATGAGCGCAGCCAGGAAGGAGCACAAGCCGGGCCCGAGAGGGCGCCTTTGGCCATCAAGGTCGGCCGCGCAAGCCCCGACCAATTCCTCGATGGCCCGGAATCCGTTGGCGGACAGGACCGCCGCAGCAAGCGCGATGTCCCGCGCTTCGCGAGCCGGAGCCAGCGATTGCAAACACTCAATAAAATGTGGTTACGCCACCGCGCGAGCCTCGCCCATGGCTGCGAAACGCCGCCGCGCGCCCACTGGTCGGCAGACTGCGCGTGCGCTGCGCGATCCCCGACGCCCTGCGCAGGTGCCAGCTGTGGCACTGCGCGAACTGCGGCCACCCCGCTGCGCCGCCTTCGCTCGACGCTCGCTGGCTGCGCTGGCGGCCGTCATTTGAAACGCGCGGTCGCCGCCGACAAGGCTGGCCACGACGTTGGTTCCCAGAAGAGACCGTCGAGCGCGGGTGGCACGCGCACAGCGCCGAGCAAAGCTAGTAAGTCATATTCCTCGCGGGAGGGGTGATCCGCGATATTGAGCTTGGACGGGACTCTGTCAACCCGCATGGCGATCTGTTGCTGGGCTGCCTTGAGCCACAAGCAATTTACCAGGCAGGAGTAGTCGCATTCTTTGGACGACCCCCTGCTGGTCACGGTCTCGGCGCCTACATTATCGCTCCACGCCCTGACTTTGCGCCGCCGCAAGAGGTGATCAAAGGTGCAGAGCCCGAACGCAATTGCGAGCAGCTCCAGGGACATGATCATCCCGTCCGCCCGCTGCCTAAAGCAATTCATCAAACTGTGGGCGGCTCCCAGTCGGCAAAGTAGATCTGTTCATCGTGCATGAGCACCGCCGCCACTCTCGGCGGAGTGCTCCTTGCATCCACAAACAATTGGACCGGAGGGCCGCTGGGGCAGATCCACTGCCTCTTCTCGTGCAATTCAAGGGCAAGGACCTCGTCCCACCAGCGGAGAGCATCACGGAGTGGTTCGGACACGTTGGCCCGACTCTGTTTGGCTTGCCGATACAGGGGCACTATGGTGGCCCTGCCCAGGCGGTGGTAGCATCGCACAGCACAGCATAGACGAGCATCGCGTAGCATAGCATAGCATAGCATAGCATAACATCACATAGCATGTCATAACATCGCATCGCATCGCATCGCATATGACAGCATATCATCGCATGGTACAGTATGGCGTAGCATCGCATAGCATAGCATCGCATCGCACAGCATAGTATCGCATCGAAATCACACCGCATAGCTTAGCCTCGCATTGATAAAATAGCGTACTATGCGGGCCGAACCGTACAATGGCCGAAAGTCCGTCCAAACGGCGCTCTCGCCTCGGCGCGGGCAGCACACCGCCAGCGTCACCTGCACGCCGTGGCCAGTTTAAGTTTAAGAGCGAATCGTGAGGATGTCTCAGCAGAAACCGGCTTTCTTGGTTCAGATGGGCGGGCTGGACGACATGGGCGAATCAAACGCACGTTCGGGCCTGCGGCGGCCGCCCGGGACGGTCAGGGCACCCACAAGGCGCGCGCTCGCCGTCGACGGCGGGGCGCGGCTGCGGGAGAGCAGCCCGAGGCGAGGAGGCCCTCCCCCCACGAGCGATGCCCTGGCAGATTGGGCCAGTTTGATTGCCACCAGTTTCCGTCGAACGCGTGCGGAGCAAGGGTTCGACGGTGATAACGGATCATTGTGCAGGCAGTTGCACGTCTCGTGGAGTATGTTGCGGTGTTTATTTCCGTGTTTTGCGTCGTGAATTCTTGTTATCCGTGTCGCGTTTCCGTCTACTCACTCCCTCCTCCTCCTCCTCCTCCTCCCTCCTTTTCCATATCACGATCAGAATTATCGCGATGTGACAGGCCTCGCACTTGGGCAACACAAGGGGGTGCCGCCAGGGGATAATTAGGACACTTACCGGTTCGTGCCCAGATTGTGGGGATGTCTCAAGCGGTTCGTTTGTTTCACGGATGTAGGCGCGTCTTTTTCAGGGCCGCGTGGTGTTCGCGATGTCGCAACAGACGTTGTTGGGCGCCACAATTGGGAGCGACCACGGGGTGGGACATTTGCCCACTTGCGGTCAGCATTCGGGGATATCTCACGCGAGACGCTGGCTTTTTGAGGTGGGCGTGCTTTTTTTCAGGGCCGCCACGAAGGAAGCGAATACTTGGATCAATCCCGGCAGTCGCTGCGGTACTGGGGTGACCGTCGGATCGATTATTTCGTTGTCGATTTTTTATGGCGCGTACCGTTCAAACCTTCAGGGTGGCCCAGTGTTGGCAAATTTTGCGCGGTGGTTGCACGACGAAGGTGGGCGCACCATAGAACCCTTCACGACAGCCCATCGTTGTAAAGATTTTCGTGGCGGTTGTAAGACGAGCGCGGGCACGGTGATCGCGCGCATTTGGGTGTTCACATTCGTTATGGCGTTCGCATGTGGTTCGCTAGACGAAAAAGTTGTGTAGATCTTGGACGTGACAAATCTGTGATGAGCCTTGGCTAGGTCGTGTGCGGGCCTTCACTGGGTTCTGGGTAGGCCATATATCAGCTCTTGAAAGGCCGTCAGGTAAGCCTGAGGCAGGCATTAGGCCGTCGGGCTGACCTTGGACAGGCCTGGGGGTTCGTGGGCAGGCATTGGGCAGGTGACATTGGGTTTGCTCGAGGTGGGTCTTGGACGCTCTGGGTCGTCTAGGCCTTGGGTAGGCGTAGAGTGCGTGAGGGGTGTGCCGAAATCGGGCCCATTGAGCCGTCTTGAGAGGTACGTAGCTGTTTCTTATGTCTTGTTTCGCCGATCGGCGCGGGCCCTCGCTCCCTCCTCCCCAAAGACCAGATCTTGGCTGCTTAAAGCGGCTGCTTCAACCGGGTGGATTAAGCACTGGGGCCCACCCCCCCTCCTCCCCCCGGTGGACACACGAGCTGCTGCTGTGCGTGTGTGAGTTGTTTTCTCGAGGCGCCCCTCTGGAAATGAAACAAAGGGTATGTAGGCAGCTGAAGTGGGATCATGCGGAATCCTTTTTCGACCTGCGGCCAGCTGTATGTTTCATGGTTGCACGCCGAGTGGAACACGTCCACCGCGTCGACAACGAACATTTTTTTTTCGCGTTGCATGCCGAGTGGAATTCGTCCACCGCGCCCGCAACGGCTCCTCTGCCGCGTGGAATGTGATTCCATTGGTCCGCCAAAAAGGGTGTAGGGGGAAAGGGATTGAGAGGGTTTGCTGAGAGGAGAATGCAGGATTAAGGTCGACTGGGGTTCATGGCGTGCATCCGTGGGGGCATAGAGGGATGGTACGGCTTGCTGATTGAGCATGATTGATAGAACTCTTTCTGCGCTCCGATGCTGCGAACCCTAGACCGTCGCCGCATCTTGCTAGAACCAAAGCGCGCGCGCAGCGCGCGCGTGTTTCTAGTACACATGTATATAGCACCACGTAGATTGGGCCACGTAGCTTACACCACAAGCATTGCAACACATCCATTGCGCCACGTGTATAGCAGCACGTACACTGCACCACCTGTATCGCACCGCATAGCGTGCACCGCATACATAGCATCACACGTAGATAGCACCTCAGTGATTGGACTACATACCTTGTATCACGCAGCTCACACCACATCGATTGCACCACATATCTTGCTCCACACAGTTTGCACCACATGTATTGCGCGACATAGCTTCCACTGCATAGCAAACACCACACTGTTTGCACGGCTCAGATGGCACCACATATAGCTTGCATCACACATATGTCACAACATAGTATGCCAGAACAAACTGGTGGGGGTCCGCGCTGGCTCGCACATGTTTCTGAATCTCTATATATGTTCATGGATTTCTGTGTTTGTTTTGCTGCCATGTCCCTTCACCGCCCCGCGAGTCGATCGCAGGAGCATCTCACGCCGATCCAGAGCGGCGCCGATGGGGGCTGCACGATGCCTTGCTCGATGGACAGCCAGCATCCTTGGCCAAGGGACGGTATCAGTGGTGTACCTGCGGGGCGAGGGACACTGAGAGGAGCGTCGCACGCACACAATCGCGGTGGTTTGTTGGAAAGCCGTGCACGTCTGAGAATTTCGGGGGCGGAAAAGAGGGGGGTGATGACTAGGGGGGGGTGGATATCATGGCGGGGGCCATGATATTTCCTCAGATTTCATGGCGCCTCTTCTCATTCCATTACGTCCCTGGCCCCCCCGCTGGGCCGCGCACATGCCGCCGGTCATGATTTGCACCCCCCCCTCTTGGACACCCCTCTCTGCCGCTCCCGAGAATTTGTTTTTAATGACCCTTGCACGTCATTGCAGGCCCGCTCCTGGGCAGCACAAGCGAGTTTCCAGGAAGCTGCAAGCATCGCGGTTCGAAGTGAGGCGGATGGCATTCGATGGCACCGTCGGTGCATTCCCCATGCAAGAGCATACGGTGATTGATGGTCGTAGTGCGCTATGGTGGACGGCGCCCGGAGGGATCGGCGATGCATGGTGCAAATGGTGGCGTGAGATGCTGGGCTCGGCACTGGCAGGTGGCGTGTTTGCTGCGTCCTCTGTCCATGCCACGCGCGTCGGTGCACGCGGCACGAGGGCACGTTTACGTGCACCAGTTCACAAGGTGTGTGAGGGCATGTGTTCAGATGAGGGGAAGAGACAAATGGGAAAGTGGAGTCAGGAGCGTTAAGAAAGATGAGGATGAGGAGTAATGCTTGATGCTTGCGTATCCCGGCCAGCCCATCCAGGAGGGGCGCATGTAAGCATGTAGTGAAGCAGGGATGCCAACAAGAGTGAAATGTTACAGACCTCGGGGAGCCTCGTGGAACCATCTTGACAGCCTGGTAGATCTGGACACCTTCCCCGGGACCGGTTTTGCATCCTGAGTCGTTTTTCGACGGTCCCCGAGGCCCGGCAGGGGCCGTCCGTAGGCCGAAAGTACAGAAAAGCATCCCGTCGCGATTCCCCACAACGCGAGGGAGTCTGGGCCTGGACGTTCATGCCTCTGTCACTGCTTGTTCCCAGACCCCCGACGTCATGATGTTTTCATGACGTCGACCCCCAAAGGTTTCGACCCCTTCCCTGGGACTGGCTTTTCATCCTGAGTCGTTCTGTGATGGTCCCGAGGCCTGGCAAGGGCCCCCAGAGGCTGAAAATGACGAAAAACCTCCCGTCGTGATTTTTTCACCACTCGAGGGGGGCTGGGTTCCTCGACCCCTCGGAGCGGTCCTGGGTGAGGAGGAGGAGGAGGAGGAGGAGAGGGAGGAGGAGGAGGAGGAGGAGGAGGAGGAGGAGGAGGAGGAGGAGGAGGGAGGAGGAGGAGGAGGAGGAGGAGGGAGGAGGAGGGAGGAGGAGGAGGAGGAGGAGGAGGAGGAGGAGGAGGAGGAGGAGGGAGGAGGAGAGGGAGGAGGAGGAGGGGAGGAGGAGGAGGAGGAGGAGGGGAGGAGGAGGGGGGCGGCCGGGGGGGCGGCTGGCGCATGGCCTCCCGGGGGGGTCTGGCGGGGATGGGGCCGCTCCTGCCTCCATGGCCGCCTCCTGCAGCTTCGGCGGCGAGCCCGCCGGGGGGGAGCGAGGCGGAGGAAGGAGAAGGTCTTCGAGCCTGTCCAGCTGTTTTCCTCCCAGACATGATCGCGTCGTACAACAATCAGGGCGGAAGGTTTTTGGCTATTTTCAGCCCCAGGGGGGCCCCGCCAGGCCTCGGGGCCGTGAAAAAACGACTCAGGACGAGAAACCGGTCCCAGGGAAAGGGTCGGGTCTTCCGGGGACGCCGTCCTGATAAATGAGGACGTCGCATGTCTGGGCCTTAGACTCAGGCAAGTTTACTTGCATGACCTTCGCCCCCCCACCCCACCCCACCCCACCCCACCCCCCCTCGCCTCTCTTCAATCGAACACGAGCGTGCACGTGCCGTTCGACTTGCCTGATTTCCGCACGTCAAGTCGTTTGCGGCCTGCTTCAGGTTCAGCCCCCCCCACCCGTCCATGCAAGTAGACTTGCCCGAGTCTTTAAAACAACGGGCTCTTCTCAGAAGGCTCGGAAGTCCTCCCCCGGCATGCCGAGGAGTTTCCGAGGCTTCCCCCAAAGACGCACCGAACACTGCTGAGAAGGTCAGAGCGCTTCTGAGAAGTCCCGCCGCCTTCCAAGAGGGCCTTCTTTCTTTGCAGGGCTCAACCTACACTGTGCTTTGGCGATTTCGTGGGCCGTTTTCGTTTTCATGTCGTTTTTTCCAGCAAGGGCGGAACGAAGACAGAACGACGGAAGACGAAACCAAAACAAGTACGAAAACGAAAAACGTTGCTCAACTCGAGCCCTGCTCCTTCTCACTTCCCCCCCCTCGCTCGCCGCCGATGGCTGCCTCCGGCCTTCCCTTCTGGCGCGAGGGGAAGAACACACGCACACACACAATCACACACACACACACGCACACTCACACTCACACGCACACACGCACACACACGCACACACACACACACACCACACACACAAACGCCCCCCCACCCACACACACACACAATCACACACACACACACACGCGCACAAACACACACACACATACGTACACACACGTACACACACACGTACACACACACACACACACACGCACACACACAATGACCGCGGCGAAGATGTCGCGGGACCTGGTCGATGCCGCCCTGGTTCACGGATCACGCCCGTCGTCGCCGCCTCGCGAAGAGGACCCACGTTTTGACGCTGACCGAGAGAGTGTTTTCGTTTCTCCCTCTGGGCCATAACGCGCGATATGCCCTCCCCTCCTCTCTCTCCGCCCCCGAATAACGCCCCCCCCCCCCCCCCCTCCCACAGTGCGTCCCCGGCACCGCCGCAGTGCGTCTGGCCCCGCAGTCTGGGGGAAGGGGGGGCGCTACGCTGTGCCCCCTCCCGTCCCGTCCCCCCCCTCCCCGCCCCCATAACGCCCGCTTGGCCGCGAGTAGAACATGTGCTCCAAGATGGACGGTGACCAAGATCGACACGACGTTTCCGTGGGCAGTGCTGGTCATGGCCTTCGTTTTCTTCCACTCCTTTGGCCTCGTCAAGCCTCTTGGCGGTTCCGCGGCCCGTCGTCCTGCCTTCACGAGTGCCAGAAGTCATCCGTGGTGGATGCCATCGCTGCTCTTCGCCAGGCATTGGTGCAGGTCTCGGCGGCGGTGCTGGAGACAGTGATATCTCGCCCAGGAAGAGTGTTACCGATCCTGGCATGTCCTTGTGGTGGGGTCATGGGAAACATCCGGATGGTGGCGGTGCATGACGCATCGACCCCCGATGGCTCCTGGATCGCCTGCAGGGGCCCGATAGCCCAGCCCTGCAAGGAACGTGCTCTTGCGCTGTCGGGGGCCCATCGCCGATCTATCGGTGATGTATCGCCGATTCCTGCTCGGCGCTTCCCCTCTCTGGGCCCGTCTGCCGCCCTATCGATCCCCGCAGATGAGGGGAGGACATCAAGAGCTGGCAGCTAACATACGACCCACAGAACTCCTGGGGTGGAATTCCTGACGAGACTATGGGTATGTATTGGTACGTGTTTGTGTGTGTGTGTGTTTGTGTGTGTTGCAGGCTCAAATGGGAGACCCGACTAGGGTCCGACAACCCTCGCCCATGCTTCTGGCTTGTGGCGCGCCCTCAGATCGCGAGGCGCGGGCCAGCATCCCCCGCTGCGTGTGAGGCCCGCCCTAAAAACTGGCCTCGGGGTGAGACAGGGAGAAGTTATTCATCAGGAAAAGGAATGAAGGAGGAGGAGGAGAACGAGGAGGAGGAGGACGAGGAGGAGGAGGAGGACGAGGAGGAGGAGGAGGACGAGGAGGAAGCGGTGGTGGAGGAGGAGGGAGGAGGAGAGGAGGAGGAGGAGGGGGGGGGGAGGGGGGGGAGAGGAGGAGGGAGGAGGAGCAGGAGGAGGAGGAGGAGGAGGAGGAGGAGGAGGAGAGGAGGAGGAGGAGGGAGGAGGAGGAGAGGAGGGGGAGGAGAGGGGAGGAGGGGAGGAGGAGGAGGAGGAGGAGGAGGAGAGAGAGGGAGGAGGAGGAGGAGGAGGAGGAGGAGGAGGAGGAGGAGTCGAGGGAGAAGCTGCGGAGGAGGAGGGAGGAGGAGGAGGGAGGAGGAGGAGGAGGAGGAGGAGGAGGCGGAGGAGGAGCGCGCGAGGGGGGGGGGGAGCTGCGGACGGGGGTCGACGGGGGCGGCGCGCCGGGCCTCCCGAGGGGGCAGGCATCGACGAGCTCCGCGCCCGGCAGGACGTCCATGCCGAGGCCGCCCCCCTCGAAGCTCGGGGGCGTCTCAGAGCGTGAATTACCTACCCCGCTTTGGCTTCCAGGAACAACCAAGTCATACCACGCGCCTCCTCGTCAAGCGACCTGACCAGTACATGCCGTAGTTTGGCATCGCTTGGTATCTCTTGGAAGCGAGGGTGGTCAAAAGCGAGGTAGGTTTGTTTTCCCCCTAGCGTCGGAGAGTAAACGGGGCAAAGATGAGGACAAATCCGTTCCAGAGCGTTCCAGAGTGTTCTCAGAGCGTTCCCGAACGCCCTGGGAAAGCCGCGGCGCCCGAGACATCCTCCAGAGCCGCCGGATCTCAGAGATTCTCGATTGGTCCTCACCCGAATGGATCTTCGTCCAGACTTCATCTGAGAAGAGATGTTGGAATGAACGGCGTGGTGGTCAGTGCGATGGTTGTTGCTGTCAAGAACTCTTGGCTTAGAGTGTCGCTCTGCCAGTTCTGGCCCAGCACGCTTCGGCGCGACGCGCTGCGCACGTCTCCATGCCCGAGCGTCAGCGTCCCGAGCTGCTCCCAGGCTTCCGCCCCGCGGAGCGGAGCGACACCATGTCCGACCGCGGGACATAGCGTGTCGCCGGGGCCTCCGCCGCGGCACGCTAAGCACACGTTCCCGGCCGTGTTGCTGTGTGCTTGCGCAGGTAGACCCTGGTACACAGACACGCTGGAGCAGCATCTCGTAATGTGGTACTTAGGCCGGTTGCACGGGCGGTACACGCATGGCCCCCGCCCCGCTAGCCACCTCTCGGGGCCACATCCCATGCCACGTCGGCTCGCGCCAGTCCCAGCACGTTCGTGGCCGCAGTTTTTGAGTGTGATGCTGATGCGTATTTGATGGCCTTGAACGGCCTTGGTGCTCTGCTGCAGAACGAGAGCCAAAATCGGATCCGGCCTCGCAGGAGGGTGTTCTGATGTTTTATGCACGCGCGAAATTATCCCAGTAGCTCGGGGTGCCCATCCGAGTGAACCGTTGGCTAGGATTTGTGGTTTCATAGGTGGTTGACGAGATTGCTCTGCACATTGGCTCAACCACCAACGCCCTAGCCACGATTTTGGCAATTCGAAGGGGAGAAGAAGACTCGGGGGAGTGGAGATGATGGCCGGGGTGTCTCCTAGATGTCATGATCCCTTTGCTCTTCTCAACACGTCCCCTAGCCCGCCCTCGTCTGCGCACATGCCTCGGGCAATGATGCGCCAGGCTGCGTCGTCCTGGCCCCACTTTTTGGCGCACCCGATGGAAGCTTGTGATCGCGGCACCCCAGGAGGAGGGGGGGGGCTCCTGTGGTTTCTCCACCTCCTCGTCCTTCCCCTCCTCTTCTATCAATCGGACACGTCTTTGTTTTTCCCCTCTGTTTCGTTCCGTCTGGCCTCCTGGGCCGTTCCATGGTGGCTGGATTTTGTTCGTCATAGATCTGGCGAGAAGGCACCCTTGGACAGTCTTGGGAAGTGGTTTCTGGGGGGGGGGTCACACCACTGCCTTCAGGATCAACGAAGCTGTGATTGTGTTTTTTGTTGTGTCTCTGAGCGCCGCTTTCGGGGGGTTGGATTGTTGTACATCCCTCAGGAATTTCAGCCAGTCCCCATGGGGTCACGGCTTAAACAAATCAGGACAGCGTAGCGCGGGCCTTCTCTCACTCTGCTTCCTCGTTCTACACCTCCTCGTCCTTGTCCTTCTCCTCCTCCTCCTCCTCTTCCTCCTGGTCATCTTGCTCCCCGTCCTCGTCCTCCTCGTCTTTTCAGGCCATCCTTTTGCCGTCGCCGGGTTCAGAGAACGGCGTCATTGCCGCAAGGCGCAGAGAGCAGAGCCCAGGGGCCCTGCGTTTCTTTCCTCTCTGTCGCCTCGTCGTTCGTTCCCCCTGCTGTGCTCGTGTTCTCGTCGCCGTCGTCCTGCGAATGTTGTGGGCCGGCGCTGCGGGGTTGTCCCTGGGCAGACGCCTAGTTGCGAAGGGGATTGGGCCTCCCTCAGCGGGGATGCCCCACCCGGTTCTTTTTGTTTGTTTCTGGATCCAGTGTCTCCCGAGCGGGCCGTGTGTGCGGCAGTGCAGTGCTTATGTGGCCTAAGCTCTGGCGTGGGTGCGTTTCCTCCTCTCCCCTCGCCCTCGTCGTCCTCATCCTGCTCGTCCGCCCTCTGGCCCCCTGCTCCTGTTGAAGCAGATCGCCCTCGTGATCCCAGCGGGTGTCTGTTTTCATCTGCGGGGTCGAACACTGAGATGTCTGGATCTCGGTCGGCCCTGACGAGCTCCACGGCTCAGCCACGCGCAGAAGGGGGGTAAGGGGGAGGGGCGAAGGCTTCTTAGGAGCACCTCTGCTTTTACGAAGCATCCCCCCTTCCCCCCTCCTCCTCCTCCTCCTCCTCCTCCTCCTCCTCCTCCTCCTCCTCCTCCTCCTCCTCCTCCTCCTCCTCCTCCGCCACTGTGCTTCAGCGCCTCCTGCCCTCTGCGCCCGATCTGCTGCGGCACCTCCCGCCCCTGCCGCTGCCCGACCTACCCAATCGCATGCTCACCAGATTCCCTGGGGCGCCTCGAGCGAAGCCCTGGTTTTATCCCCCCACCCCCCCACACCAGCTCCTTTGCCAGGGCGGCCACGAGGGTGCGAGGTTGGTCGCGCTTCGCGATCCGGGCGATTTCAGAGCGAGGCGCGAGCCCCTCATCTTGTTCCAGGAAGCGGGTGGGGTGGGGGGTGGGGGGCGGCGCGATAGCGCAGAGATACTCGCGGAGCGCGGAGCGCGAAGGTAGTTACCCTGGCTGTATTTTCCTAGCCTCGTGACTGCCGCGGTGTAACCGGCGCGCGTAGCACTTCGGCGGCCCATGGGGGCCCGCCAAGGGGTAGGATTTAAGTCGGGCATGTCCTTAGAGCGCCCGGAGTGTCGCGGAATTCTGAAGCCTGTTTTTTCCCGTGGAATTTTCATTACTCAGTATTCAGGGTGGACTCTAGGTGACTTATTCTAGTCAGTGCCTACTGCACGGTGGCGGAATCGAAGCGCTACAGGCTGAATCTTTCCTCGAGACATGAAGCGCTTGAGACGAATGTGCGCGGCGCGACACGGCGCGAGGGCGAGAACTGCATTTTGAAAACGACCCGCCGTTCACCCGTGTGGTTGTCATGATGTGCGAGCTCCGGGGCTACACGTGGCGTGGACGCCTGCGGCGAAACGCCTGGACCGCCCCACCGTTACGCGGGGTGATGCGTCGAGGAGGAGTTACTTGCAAGAAAGAGTGACTGAGGCGGATGCGGAGGACGCAGAGGAGGAACGGCCAGAAGGAAGGCCCAGGCGGTCTTCCGCCTCCTCGGAGTCCCCCCCCGCGCCCGGGAGGCCCACGAGAGGCTTGCCAAGCAGCAGCTCGAGGTCAGGCAGCTGGCCGAAGGCCCCATGCCGCTCGCCTCCACCCCTCACCCTTCGGGGAGGAGCATGCAGAGACGACGGGCGCTTTCCTGCGCCTCGCGGGGCGATCGCAGCAGCGACGGAAAGCCTGCCCTACGGGATGGGGCCGCAAAAGGGTCCCAGACCGCCGACGCCATGGTCTTTCCATGACGTCACCCCCCAGAGGTTTCGACCCATCCGCGGAACCAGCTTTTCATCCTGAGGCGATGTTTGACGGTGCCGAGGCCTGGGAAGGGCCCCCGAGAAATTTCCTGTCATGATTTTTCCATTGCTGGAAGGGGGTCAGGGATGTCCGCGGTTCTGCTTGTCCACTTACGTTGATTTGGGGTCGCGTGTGTGCCATTTCGGTCGGCTGTTGCTCGCGAGCGGCGGGCCTCGAACCTATCCAAGTGCCACGCCCACGCCCTCGCGGCCTGGATTCTGGGCCGCGGCCCCGTGGCTGCGCGATCGCATGGACGTGTTTCGCGCGGGGCATCCGCGAAGCAACGCTCAGTATGTGATCGTTTTCTTATTCATTGTTCTGCCGATCGGCGCGGGCCATCGTGCCCCCCGCCTCACTACTCACCACTCACTACTCGCTACCAACTACGCACTAATCACTACAAGCTACTCACTACGCACAACTCATTACTCAGTACTCCCTACTCGCTACTCACTGCTCACTACTCGTGACTCGCTACTCAATACTCGCTACTCCTTACGCACTACCCACAGCTCGCTACTCTCGATCCGCAAATCGCAACTCATTATGTACTACTCGCAACTCACGACTCACTTCTCGCAACTAAATATTCACAGCTCACTACTCTCTACTCATGATTCACTACACACTACTCATTCCTTGCTCCCTACTCCACACATGTCACTACTCACTACCAACTGTTCACTATTCAGTATTCACTACTCACAACTTTGTAATCACTGCTCAGTTTTGGTTATTCATTACTCAGTACTCAGTACCCACTACTCACTACTCACTAGTTTCTTAGTTTCTTCTCATTTCTCATTACTCACTCATCTCTATTCGTCACCCACTACTCATTACCCACTTCCCACTACTCACTAATCACTACACCCTATTCACTACTCTCTACCCGGTACCCCCTACTCACTACTCACTATTCATTACTCCCTACTCACCACCTACTATTCATTACTCCCGATTCACTATTCACTACACTATTTACTGCTCACTACTCACCACTCCTAATCTGAAATAGCCCCCCCTCCCCCCCCTTTCCAGCGCAAAGGGGGAGGGCCGAAAATCCCACCCCCCTTCTGAAGGGCGAGAGGGGGGTCCTGCCAGCACCCCCCCTTCTCAATTACCGGAAGCGCGGTTTCGCGAGGTAGCGACGACTTAGCGTCGGCTAGCGTCGGGCGCCGATTCAGCGTCGTTCAGCGTCGATTCAGCTTCGATTCGCAAGAACCGACAAGATGGTATGGGAGGCTTCCATGAGTTGCCACCGAACCTGGGGGTGCGGGAGGCGGTGCCGGAGGCCTGGGTGCCAAAGACCCAGCACGAGAACGGTGGCATGCTCGACGCCCGCGCGGAGTGCCGTGCTCGACGCTTCCTGGACGCCCGAGGGCGCCTCGGGCACCGCTCTGCGAGCGCCGTAGTGGAGGGGGTGCGGGGAGAGGAGGCCTTCTTGGACGCTCTAATAGGTCGTGGTGCCTCTCCTTTAGGTCCAGGGGAGGGGGTAGGCTGAAGGGTCGAGACACCCTCCCCGCCCCGCCCGCAAGTCGTCTCGCTAATTCCCACCCGCCCTCCCAATACAGAACTAGCACCCGCACCTCAGCATGTTCAGCGGGCGTCCTTGGATGGACGGCTACTGGGAACAAAAACAGACCCCGCAGGCGTGACGCTGGGGCGAGATGTGCCACGCGTGCCAGGCGCGCCACGCGCTCCAGGTGCGCCATGCAACCCTGGGGCCCAAGCGTGCCAGGCACGCCTGGTGCGCCAGTTGCGCCACGCGCCCCACGTGCGCCATGTATGCCGCATGCTCCAGCCGCGCCAGGTGCGCCACGTTAAGGGCACGCGCTGAGTGTGCCAGGTGCGTCCGCGCACGTGACAGCACACATCGGGAAACATGTCGGCCCCCACCATCCCTGTCGAAGTTGAAAAGTGATGCTCAATCGCGGCAGGTGGCCATCATGGTGTCTGGTGGGCTTGCACACAGCAGGCAACATGCCAGCAAACCCGCCGTCCCTGTCAAAAATCATGGACAGTGACCGCGGGGTGGCCACGCATGATCCAGATGTAACCGCGAAGTACACTTTCATTGTTTCTCCTGACTGGGATGGCGGCCTTGCGCAACGCAGACAATTTTGGGACATCCCCGGCGTCCCACTCAAAAAGCACCATACAAATGCTCGCGGGGTCCACGAACATGACCCAGCTGTAGCCCCAAAGTATATGTTGTATTGGTTTGCTGGCAGGGGCGGGGAGCTGTGTCGTCATGGGGCATGGTTGGCTACCAGTCGGGTGGGCAGGGGGTATTGTAGTGGCCTCCGGCCAGTGCCGCCGATCTGGGGCATTCCGGATGATGATGATGATGATGATGATGATGATGATGATGATGATGATGATGATGATGATG